GCAGCTCATACGCACTGCGTCAAGGAGATTCGCCACTTGGTGGCGACGTACGCCAGACTCGTAACAAAGAAATAGAGAGAAACGTCGGCGTCGTCAATTGAGAGCGATGGTTCGCCGTTCACTTTTTGAAAACCTCGAAATCAGTGAGTGAGCAGATCGTAATATTGCGGTTTCACTCATAGCCATACGTCGTGCCAGATAACTCAACGGCAGCACCATTCAAGGCTTAACTGAGGATATCGGGTGCGGAGAAAAATTGGAAGCTCTCACTATTAAGTTCAAGGAGAGGGTTATTACACAAGTAATACAAAGTTCTAAATACATCGGGGACAAATCCCGCTCTGTGTATGATGCTTGTGTATTTCAATATAATCGATTGGCCTGCCTGCGTTTTGCTCGTCGCGTTGGGTATACTCCGTGTACTGATAGCCCGGACATCGTGGCCCGGGAACGTGCAGCGAAAGAAATCTAGAGCGTGTAAGAATGAGAGATGGGGCGCGTGCCTGAGGGGCCGAAGCCATATGACTCCGTATGCCAGAGGAGGACAGTAGCGGGTGTTGCCGCTCGCCGGCCTCGTATACATCACGTTGGCTGATTGAATCCTGAAGGCGTGTACTTGGTGGTATTTTGCTCTGCTATAGGTATTCTATACAGGTATGCCGTCCGTTCTCGGCTCCGTGACTCCGTCCTAACATTCTAATTCTCAGGCGGCGTGAAGGTTTCACGAGCACCCGTACTGCATTATTCGTAGCTCTGGTCGCCCTCTTCATAATCTCCACTTCCCACCTTTGCTCCACCACATCGTATTTCGTCCTCACTATCCGCGCTCTCCTCATCAATAACCCCGGAGATTCCGTCCTTGCCAAAAATGCTGCCTTTATAGCGAAAAACCATGTTTTGGGAGAGATTGGCCAGGTCATGCTCCCGATCGCGGTACGCCATAGATCTTGCTTTCTGAGGTATTCCACGCTGAGATACTCACTAAATAGGTTGTCATCGGGGACTCCATCGTTCTCTGGAGAGCGTGGTCGTTATCCGGGAAGAATAGGATGATCAAGATCTTTCCGATTCTCCTCCAACTGGCGTTGACGGGTACGCATCCCAAACAAACCCTCAGTCATTCCCCTAAACCGTTGTCTACCCAGCCATGGCTTTTTCATGGATCGGATGTTTTGTCGATGAGGATCTTCCCACATCAATCTCGCCACGATGCCGAAGGTTGAATACGGCGACATATGTCCTTTCCATGGTTACCAATTTCGCTGCAACAGCCATGATCGGTTACATGGCGTGGTTCGTTCCTTCTCTTCATCAATGCTTTTGATGCTCAATTCATGCGTAGGCGCCACCGACAACAAATTAAATCTTCACTCGCTCCGTCCCCTAAACGTGAGAGACTTGGGAGACGTCTAGTTCTGATTTTTGAATCTGGCGTAGTTTATATGACGCTTTGGGCATGTTTTGGTCTCCCTCCACCGGCAGTCACCCAACTCACCAATGCTGTATACGTCCCTGTCAGATCATTCAACTGGTGGTCTTGGTGGCCGCAGCTTCCTCGAATTTTTTGAACCAGGCCTTTCGACAGGTTTTCTCGACTGCTGTGACGCAACTCGTGGTAGGTTGGGCCCTTTCCCTTGACTCGGTCACTGTCGAAGCCTGAATACAATCTCACAGGGCATGTATCCTACCGTAATGGTGTTGCTGCATTACCGGAGACGATCCGTATGGGATGCTTCCGGGAGGATGCTTCTCCAGTCTGACGAGGATGCCAATTTTTGGAATGGCATTGGTGCATATTCCCAGAACGTTGTGGAGGCACGACAAACAATAATCACCCCGCTCCCGTATTCTCTTAATCCTCCTCTTGCTTCTACTGCTCGGAAATTTCAGTCTCAGAAACAACCTTTGGCTCAAACCCAACAGCAGCAACAGAGTTCCAGCTCGAGCTCGGCTGCGGAGCCTGTGATACCGACTCACATTCAGGCACAGTTCGACATTGTTATGCAGAGGTTGAGAACACTAGAGGCTGACGAGGAGAGGACAGCACCGCCGGACTATGTTTCCAGGTAGCATTGGTGCCCTGCAAATAATTGTAGTGATATTGAATTCTAAAGAACTCGGACCTTCACGTTGGACAACTTTCGTATTAATTTTAAATCCTGTGCAATTGACGGAAACGCCAGCACTCACGTTGTGGACATTATATACCGAGGGAAATCATTTCACGCAATTTCGAAGGAGCTTGGGAGCTCTGCGAATTTGGCATCGAAGACTATTGAGCGATTGTTCTTACACCGACACGTTCCCCTTAGGGTAAGGGCACGGCGTGATTGAATCACGTCGCGGGACTAAGTTCGAGCATGAATTTTCATTCGATATAGTGGTCCGTCAGGCCCGACTGAAACTGAGCGAAAGATGTGGGAAACTGCCTCGCTCCTAGTTTGGATTCACCAGTGCCTGGATACAGTAGCACGGTTTCCCCCCGATTGAGTCTTGTCGATCGAGCTCCTGGTTCCTGATCGATTGATCCTCCATGTTGTTTGCCATTATGAGTCCGCAAAATCATTATCGGTACTAGGATACTCCGCAGCCCGTTCTTCATCTTCGATACCATGTACAGTACAGGCCGACGTTCAAGAAGGAAGGTAAATGTGTATCCCCGTGGATTGCTACTGCCGGTTGGCTGGATTGAACAACCGACCTTTGCATTGTACAATACCAAGGATTGTGAATACAAGTGCAACGCTCTACCACTAAGCTAAACCGGCGATATGAAATCCTCGATCACATCAAATCACAATCAGCTCTCGGTCTCATCAAGTTTACCTGTACCTGAAAAGCGTGCTTGTCGTCACTATCGCCCGATATAAGTCAGCATACAGGACACGACAGTGAGTAGGCGACGACGCACATCGGAAACAGTATCTCTTCGCCTTAACGGACGTCATCGCTCAAGGTTTGTCCTGTCTTGTCTCCGATTCTCGAGCATTGAACGTTGTTAAAGGAGCGTGTGCTGTGACTCGAGTAAGAGAAATCGAGGTGAGAGAACCTGGAAAAGGTGGCGCGTCGTAACTCAGGATTCGTAGTGGCAAAACTAGATATTAGTAGTGATGATGTTCAACTGGGTCTGGTACGTTTTCTTTGAGGTTTGCGTCCCACTGGTCGTCTGGGGAACGTACAATCATTGGAAGAAACGACGAGAAGTTGAAAGTGACGTACTTCTACCATAGCGAATATAACTTCCCATGCCAATAGCTCTACGCCACTTCCCTAAGCCCTCTTTAAGTTTTTGGCACGGTAACGAGCCCATGGCTCGCGAGAGAGTATAAGTAAGAGGGACCGAGAACCAAGATTTCGAGTAACCAGATTCTCCTTGGCTCCTCCACTTTTCGCTGATGGGTTCCCTGACAATGATTTCTTCGTTTCATTTCGATGGCAGCAGTAACCTTGGGTGGTAGATCGTCGCCTGTCGAGATGTGATCGCTCTATGTTGACATTTCGAGGGTTTTAGACGCCCTATCATAGAGTACTTCTAGGAATTATTGCGTGTCTGTTCGCTCGTGTTAACCGAAAGAAATAGCATAGCTTGTTAGAGGAAAGCACCTCGTCGCGATAGAGCATAGCGACGTTGTACTCTTTTCCATTTCTCTGTGTCGTTGCTCACAACCATCCCCGTCTTCCTCAGCCTGCCCGATTTTGTGATATGCATAGCAATATGGTCTACAGAGAAAAGCGTGAGCGATGGATGCAAAAGGGCAAAAGGGGATGTAAGGCTGGCCTGCCTACGACGCACTGTCATTTAGGAAGCCTATAAGCAGAGCACGTTTTTCCCTTTTTTTTCACCGTTGGCACTGTACATCGGTGCTAAAAAAAAATAGGAAGTAAGCGCAGGAAAATCTTGACGACGAAAAAAGGACATACCTGTAAGACTGCATTCTGATGCAATCCAGTAAGGTTCATCTTAGCTGTACATCGCCCTTCGAGGATTTCCGATGGTTTTCTTCCTTGCCTACGATATGAACGCGTGTCTATCGAATAGAGATGGTGGGTAGAGGACAATATAGGGGCTTGTAAAGACAACGAGGCCAAGGAGATTGTTAGTTGCGAGAGGATGCGGCCAGGTAAGAGCCGAGGTACTGTTTGGAGTGATGATGGTCGAAGGGCAAGCTCGGCTCAGAGCGGTCAACCGGGCTAGTCCGGACAAGGAAAAAATTCTAAATGGGGTCCACCGGGGATCGAACCCAGGACCTCTCCCATTTTTACAGCATCACGCTGCGGGCGCTACCCGAAGGGAGAATCGTACCACTAGACCATGGACCCATTGCATCGGAATACTTGTAGACTTAGGATGGTGACGGAGCCAGATACGGAATATCTTTGGGCGACGCCCTGTCGTCATGCACCACATCAGCGTTGAGGACATGCTTCCCCGCTGCAATTGTCGCTGGGTACGGTCCAAATCTAACGACAATGCGAATCGACGGACTGAGTCTCCTCGTCTACGTGTTTCCTGGAATAGCGAATGAGCTTAGCGTTCTTGGCTCACTCTGCATCGTATCCTTACACGCGAGCGGCGACTCATCCTCTCGACTGGGCTCTCACGAGCATATGAATGCTGAGAGGAATCACAGCACTGCAAGATGCAAGATGGGGATGAAGAGCCCAACAACATGACGAGATTCTATTGATATAGAATAGATTTTGCTTGCAAGAGGAAGTGAGATGACCAGAGCCACACTATCATCTTGATACCTTTCTCCTGAATGTACTCTCCTCCCAACCAATGCACCAGCGTCCCACTAGCGAACGGGCAGATGAGGTTCTTTCGCCACCGGCTACTCGTTTATATCCTCCCGGGCATTTTCGTCTCTGTCGAAGGGAAAGGACTTCGAATAGTGTCACCAGGAACAATCTTTACCATTTCGCAACCTGTCACTATCCTGTGGCACGAGGACGACATACGACACAATGGCTTGGCATTCAAGCTAGTTCAGGACTCGCAACCTTCCGGTATTGAAGTGAAAATCCCTATTGCAACCATCGCGGAGGATGACTCAGACCATGGAACCTTCACCTTCGCCCCGAGGGTCCCCGGGTGAGTACGACATTACTTGTGAAAGACACACTCACCATCATTGAACATGCCAGTGATTTTGCGCTATTGGGGTTCGAAATCGAAGATGGCAACGAGGGGTAGGGCCAATCTCCGGATTCTTTTCCCGCCTGAAAAGTTCACCAACAATGTCTCATTCACGCAGTAAAAGAATAACACCCCATCCACCAGTTGCCTTTGCATTTGAAACGCCGAATTTTTTTCAGGCCTCAAGAACGACATCGTGAGTGATTCATGCCTTTGCTGTCATGGCCATCAAACGGGACGCACGCAATCTACTAACATCTGTATGTCAATTTTGAATGTCTTCCACAGCATGAACCATATAACAACGGTGCCCACGTCCGTATCAACTCCTGATGACCC